CTCTGGCATAGCTATGTCTAGTAAATGTGATAGTAGGGAGATCTGTATCCAAGAATTTACCAAGTGGTTTCACAATAGCCTGCAGGTAAGAGAGAATACATAAATTTAATGGAAGAAATGGCAGCCTAATCCAAACCGGTTTGACTAGACACTCTTCTTTAGCATTGAAATCCCTTTACCATTTGAATAGCCTGAACAATGATCCTTCAATGGAGTACGAGTCCCTTGTCTACGTTTTGGAAAAGTCCTCTGCAGTCTGGAGCTTAATCAAGACATGTCACCTATCTATGAAGCTGACAATTGGAATGGCAGTTAACCCCCCCTTGGTACTGATATGATGCCGGATTACATCCATTCGAGGGCGATATTTCGAGAATTTGGCAATGAGGGCAAATTGCAGAAGAGCTGCAGATCGTTGTAGTTCAAAAGGGGAAAATATCACAACGTTCTTACCTTCCTTCCATTGTGGCTACCTTAATGAAATAGCTACATCCATCACAGGAATCGACGAGAGCTCATGGCGAATAATAGAAAATGTTACTGCTGCTGCATAAGAAGTAGGAATAGAAGGAGAGGAAACCTTTGAATTGGGAGCAGTATAGTCCTTATTATGGCTGGGGGTTTAGCTATGGTGGCGGTTTAGCCCCACCAGGAACGGCGGTAGCTATAGATCTAAGGTTGTAAAGAGGAAGACGATGGCTATTTTAGGAAAGAAGTTTTAATCCTAAGTTTAAATACCACAAATCATTCATTCGTAACATAAAGCAGTAAATCAAACACCAGAATGATCACGGAGAAATCCAATTGGGAAAAACTCCGAGCACTTTGCCCAGTCAATCCACTATAAATGAATTTAACAACTTACAGTCTACCAGACTAGACGACCCGTACTATCTGATCAGCCGACTGCACTCCTCACAGCTTTTCGTGGATCCCGTGCTCTCCTGCACTAATCCTCAACTGCTGTTGCCAAAGCTCTCCGTGGAATCTGCTACCCTGCAGCACTCCAAACTTTGTAAATTCGTCTATCTCTCGTGGATAATAAAGAACACCCCGTTCTTCACAGACTGAAACTCCAGTCGCCTTCCTTGATCTTCAGCACCTTTGACAGATGTGTAGGAAGTTTGGTTTCTGTTATTTGGATATTGGATCTGATATTTTTCTGACCAAAACACTCACACAAGATGAAGGTTGAATGATGAAATGATTAGATCTCTCAATGATGAAGCTCTCTCAATTAACAACCTTGGGAAAAAACGTTCTGTATGTGTTTTGGTATAAATAAATTGGTCAAAAAATCAATGGATCGAGACAAAAGCCTTTAAAATGCAAAAATAAAATTTCCTGTATAAAACTATCACTCGAGCGGAGAGCCGCGACAGTTTTTCGCTCGAGCGAAGGACTGGCGACAGTCCTGTGAAGCAGTTTCTGTTTTTGTAGCTTGAGCCAACCCTTGGCGACAATCTAGCGAAAATTCATACCGTTTTCCTCCTTATTCCAAACTTGAAACCTAAACCTATTTAACTAACTTTTAAATAAATTGCACATTACTCCTTGAATTTTGACACTCTATATCATAGAATTAGTCAATTACAAAATCAACTAAAACCTAATAGATCCATCTCACATACTCTCAACATCTTATTTTTATTTTTTCAAAATAATTTAAAACGAGTCACAAATATTCTCAATATTATTTCCCAAATTTGTTTAATCATTGAGCAGGTTGAGACTAGTTAGAACATCTCAAATGTATTTTTGAATTGGTATTTAGGTGGCACATAAATAGAAGGAATTTCGATTTATATGGCATTGTTGACTATTGAATAGACAATATCTCTAGAATAGTCGATAATGCATTTTATAGATTGCTACCTACAATGCTTTTATTTTCTTAAAATAAAAATTGAATCACGAGTATACATCTGTTCTATCAATCATGAAGGAACATGAATGTTAGAGAAAAGACGCCACTTAAAACAAAAAGAGGTCTGATAAAATATAGCCTAATGGCTACTTTACACGTTAATACCTTTCTAAATCGAATTCATACTGAGAAAGAAAAGGACATTGGATTTGATACATGAAAAAGAGGCTGCTGCTTCTATTATTTTCAAACGAGATGATTAAATTACCAACTGAATAGTTCTGTAGATAAAATTCGACAGCTAACTCATTGACAAAGAGGAAAAAAAATTCAAAAATATACGAACAAATATAAACTCCAGGAACGTTAGATTCTCCTTTTCCATTGGCCTTCAAGAGCAAGACAGGCAAAGCAATCTCTAACAAGCAAAAGTCTTAGAACTCGAGATTCTCCTTCTCATCGTAACCATAATTATACAGATGGTACTGGTAATGATCGTTTCGCTTAAACAAGAACATATGCCCGTGATTTTGGTTTGTGAAGTAGATAGTTAAGCCAACATTGCTTTTCATCAGTTTCCTCGATCCATAATTATACATATGGTACAGAATGCCAGCTACAAGTTGTAAAGGTAGTTTTCTTGTCCAGTAATACGAAAGAAAGTCTATGAATATATGTAAAAATAAAAAGATTGATCACCTGTCAATATACTATCGAAGAAACTATAATCGGATACAGATTGATTTAATCATGTGTCAATCAACACAATCATTATGAACTAGCCATAACGTTGAGCACAAAAAATTACTATAGTTGGGCATTTGAAGAGTGAATGACCCTGAATTCAAGTTCAGCACCCCAAGAAAAGCACCCTCGGATGGTAATCCATATTCGGATGACGAAAAATGCGGAAAAGGATCTCTACAAAATTTGTTTTCAATATTACAGCAGACTCAATCATTGCCTGTTTACTAGTCTCCTGAAAGATTCATGTACTCAAAAAAACAGTCAAAAGAAGGTAAATAGTTCAATATATTGATACTTAATAGCTCCTTCAAACAAATTTTACTATTCTGCATCTCCTGCTTCATTCCCTAACTCTGCGTTGCTCGTCTCACCAAGTGTAAACCGAATAAACCTCCTGACTTTTATATTCTCCCCAAGGGCAGCAACAGTTTGCTTCACCAGATCCTTCACCAAAATGCTATCGTTTCTAATGAAGGGCTGTTCCAAAAGAGTAAGCTCGCTAAGCCTCTTTGAAATCCTTCCATCGACAATCTTCTCCCTTATATTCTCAGGCTTCAACTGAAGATCTTCCCTCTGCATCTCCAGTTCCTTCTCTTTGTTGACCATGCTTTCTGGGACATCTTCAATGGATACGTACTGCACTTGTGGGCAGGCAACAACCTGCATCGCTAGATCATCAACCAATTCTTTGAAGTTTTCACTTCTACCCACAAAGTCAGTTTCACAATTAACTTCAAGTAGAACTCCAATGCGGGAATCATGAATGTAGGACCCAATTCTGCCTTCAGCAGCAAGTCGTTTAGACTTTTTGTCAGCAGCAGAAAGGCCCTTCTTCCTTAGGTATTCTTGTGCCTTCTCAAGGTCTCCTCCAGTTTCAGAAAGGGCTTTCTTGCAATCCATCATGCCAGCTCCAGTTTCCTCTCGCAATTGTTTGACCAGTGCAGCTGAAATTGTTGCTTTTGGAGTCCTACATTTTGCATCAGATTTAGTAACTAATGTAATGATGCAAGGACAAGTATCATATAATGTAGGATGAAGATCAAAGGCACGATTAATATGAAATAATACACATTATTGCAGTGTCGAACTGGTATTACTACTTCTCTCTCTTTTTTTCCTCTGTGTGTGTGTCTGTGGGTGGTTGATTAGGTGGTAGGGAGGAAAGGGAAACCGGAAATGATCCTCAGGTCTATGGGGTACAACCAATGTTTTAAAAACCGAGCGACCATTGACCTGATAGGGTCAGGGGTCGAACCAATGGTAAAAAAAAAATTAAATAACTGGCTCCATTCATCAGATCGTGCAGGTGAACCTTCCTGTTCCTAAACTCTTTAACAGGTATTCACTTTACGGTTTTCTACATCGAAACTGACAGTTCCAGTCGAACCGGCAGGTGTGTTTTAGTTCTTATAACATTGGATATTACAATTCATGCTAGAAAAATTATACTGCAATCAGGTGGCTGGATTCAGTTTGCACTTTTTACAAGTTCCTAAAAATTAAAGGTACCAAAAAGACAGTGATATAATACGATGTTTAAGCATTACCATGCAGCTTCAGAAGCTGACAACTGATACATAGCAAACACCATCCACATGCAACTTTTAGGATGACCTCTATTTAGTTTTTGCCTTGTTATCATGCTTAATCTTAACCAACAGAAGTGCACCAAGTTGCATGGACATATTTAATAGAGCATATACTTACTTCTCTATGGTTTCCTTGGCTTCAATGGCAGGAGGTTCCTGTTTTCCAGATGTGGGCAACAATTTAGCAGCAGTTTGTGCTGCGACTTCTGCAGCAAAATCTTGGCTTTTCCTTTCCAGACCTTCTCCTAAATTGTAGCGCATGAATCTCTTCACTTTGATGTTCTCTCCGACTTTTGCAATAGTCTGCTTCACCCAATCCTTCACCACTATTTTATCATTCTTGATATAAGGCTGTTCCAATAAGGCCAGCTCCTCTAACCTCTTATTTATCCGGCCATCAACAATCTTAGATCTAATCTGCTCTGGTTTGGACAATAGATCTTCCTTTTGCATTTCAATTTCCTTCTCCTTATCAACAATATCTTTAGGAACATCTTCAGTACTAAGATACTGTACTTGAGGGCATGCAGCCACTTGCATGGCCAAGTCCTCAACCAATTCCGTGAAAATGTCACCTCGAGCTACAAAATCTGTTTCACAATTCACCTCTACTAAGATGCCTATCCTGTTATCATGAATATATGAACCAATTCTTCCTTCAGCTGTGACCCTACTGGATTTCTTATCTGCACTTGCTAAACCTTTCTTTCTGAGGTATTCCTGAGCTTTAACTATGTCTCCTCCAGTTTCAGATAGAGCTTTCTTGCAATCCATCATTCCTGCTCCTGTTTCCTCACGCAACTGCTTCACAAGAGCTGGTGCAATAGCAGCTGCAAACAGGCAGAACAGATCAAGAAGGGAATGGGCAGAGAAATAAGAAGTTATTAAATATGATTTATTTAAAAACTAAATCTAAGAAGTGGTTATCCATTAGTATATTACATCTATTCTCTTTTTCAGCACTTTCTTTACTTGGTGCAATACTTCACTTAAACCCTACCAATTAGACTCATAAAGGAATGTCATCCAAGAAAGATGAAAACGATATGAAAGAGAATTTAACTTTTGAGAGGTGTAAAATGAAAATAATCCCGTAAAATATTTTTTTGATAGAATTTTATTTTATCCAATGTGTTGACATAATCCCTTATGTTCAGCAAAAAAATTACATCCCACAGGTTCTCACAAGTCATAACCTATTGGAGTAGGTCATGCATACAAGCAGCATATGATTATATTAGACATGACATTACATCTTTTCACAGTACATCATGTTCGTTGAACTCAGTTGAAATGAGTTTCTTGATTAACTCATTTTCCCTTTTTTTGATAGACTGATTAACTCATTTTCAGAACATTAATCTTTTAGAAAGCAGTTAGAAAGCTGTTGGCTGAATTCAACACGACACGGTTAAGTTGAATTCAAGAATCTATGTGCATATTTGTATTAACTTATTCGTATTCCATGTGTCAGTTTTGAGTTTTCGGAACCATAATGTTTTAGTTCTTCTTCACATTCCCATTGGGCTTCCCATATTTATTAATAGTATTTGCTAATTGAAGTTGTAGTATAGTTCAAATTCGTACAGAAAAAATCTAATTACTCAATCATGAAGGCATTGGTAATGCAAGTGAACTTTTTTAATATGCGCGAAATGAAAAGCAAAAAGCAGAAGTATAGACCTTTGGACGTGACTTCTTTTGGTGAAGCAATACCACTTTCCCCAATTGGGTTGGGCTCATTTCCATTCTTTTGAAGGTTGATTCCCCCCTCTTCCTCTTCAACAGATGTGATCAATGAATTTTCACTACTGGCAGCAGAAGTTTGCGCCTGGACGTCACTTACAGCCACATTGTCATCCTGATTCTTGATAACATCTCCACTAATCTGACTTTCTGCAATGTAAGACAAAAGGAAACTAGTTTTTAGGAAAGCAATAAGAATGAAACTCTCTCCATAAAACATAGAATCTCATCAAATATCTCATAATTCACATTATGTAAAGCGCTCAAATTATCATGTCTGGGCTGTATTCACCTACTCAACATGTATTAGATGTTGTTAAGTTGTCCTTAATAAGGGCCTATTTAAATTCTCAGGGTTAGGTGCAGTGATTCTTTACCTTGTTTGGCAGAAGGAAATTCACTATCTGGTTTCTGACTTTGCTCTTCCTCTTCTGCTACTGCTATCATATCAGCAGCAGCCTTCTCTGTAACTTGTTCAGCTATCTCCGATGACAAGGTCTGATCAGCTATTTCTCCAGATAACTTGGATTCTTTTTCATTCACTGTTGCATCCATCACAGGAGGTTCTCCAGATAACGCAGATTCACCTTCTGTGGCAGAAGCCTCTGAGCTATTTGGTTCCTGACTTTGCTCTTCATCTTTTGCTATTAAATCATCAGATGCCTTTCCCGTAACTTCTTCTATAGTCTCTGATCCCCAGGCCTGATGAACTAATTCTTCAGACAACTTAGCTTCTTCTTTGGTTTCTATAGCATCAGTAGGAGAAGGTTCCTCAACAATTTCATCATCAGCAGTCAAAATTACAGAGCTCACCTTAACTTCTTCGATGCTTTCAGCAACATCATTAGATTGTGAAGAATCAGCAAGTATACTTTCAGGGCCCTCTTCCTCGTCCAAGGTTTCAGGTACAATACCATCCATTGTTATGGCTCCTGAATCTGCACCCTCTACATCTTCCTGTGTTTTTTCAACTGGTTCATCTTCTTTCTCAATTTCATCCAAAAATGCAGAAATGTCTTTATTACTGCGAAATGCTAACAGAAAAGGGTTAGTTGCTTTATGTACAACACCCTGGCTAAGCTTGGAATCCAACTCTGCAGCAGCTTCTTCCTTTTTCATTGTCAATGTTACCTGTCCTCTAGTGATGCGCAACACTCTAACGCTGACTTCTTGACCTACTTCCAGTGAAGTTTCGCCCATAACATTTGCAAAACTATCGTCAGCTTCTTCTGATACAGGCAAGAATCCTTCCTCACCTTCGGGTAAAGATATGAAAGCACCAGCTCTGGCTAAATTTTTCACTGTTCCCTCGAGATTTTGACCCTTCACAAACTTTGAGCTTTTCTTCATCTCATCTCTTCTCTGATTAGACTTTTGACCGAACTTTCTGGTAGGTCTAGATTTATCATTGCCATCTTTCTTGCTGGCATCATCACTTTCACGCATGGTTAAAGATATTCGGCCAGTCTCTGTGTTCGCTTCAATCAACCTTACTGTCACCTCCTGTCCAATGGAAACTACACTCCCAACATCCTTCACAAAGCTACTACTCAGATTAGAAACATGCACAAGGCCGTCTGTAAAAGCTCCAAAATCAACAAAAGCACCAAATGGCTGGATTGATCTAACTTTTCCTGTGAAAGTTGCTCCAGGAACGAGTTCTTCATTCTTCACAGGAGGCATCTCACTCTTTCTAATAGGCTTTGAACGTTTAGATTGGGCAGGAGTAGGATTAACATCTGGTTTGACAGACGATTCTCCACTTATGTTTGCAGCATCTATAGAAATTTCTGAAGCATCATTATCTGCCGCAGGCAAATCTGCTGCCTCCACAGCAACATCAGTCCCAGTGGCAGACACTATATGGGTTTTTAGTTTGGACTGAAAACCACAAGCAAGTTGTAGTTGGGGAAATAATCTAACAGATGTTGACAGAGGTAATATATACTTTTGTGCCGTTAATGTTAGTTTGTTAAACTTTCGCACATTACTACATCTGGTTACACAATTGTTCTGTTTGGTTATAAAGAAAGATCTTGGAGTAAGTGAAATATTGTTTGTCAAACTTGGAAGTACAGGAGCCATGTTCACTTCAAAAGCAAAAGGAGAGTACAATCACCAAACTCTATCAACTTATTCACCTGTAACATACATAAAATAGATGGACCTTAAGAACACAATTTTAAATGTTTGCTCAACATCAACACAGCAAACGTGAAAGCTAAAATATTATTACAGCTAGAATGAAATATAAGTATTATAACCTCATACCTATAGGTTCCTCAAGGCACTAAGATCCAGAGGATAAATAATTAAATACAGATAAGAAAAAAATTGCACCTAAGGTCCACATTCTGCAGGTAAACGAACACTTGGGTCGCCAGTTTAATTTTCATGGCCAATGAACCCCCATACTTCAAAGTTTGTAAAAAATTAGCCAGTCCTTCAAGTTTCATTTAAAAAAGCTGTTAAATTGTTATATGACTCTCAGGTATTTCAAGGTATTTGTTAGAAAGACACATCTACCCTTGCTCAACAAAATAAATATTGGAGTCTGGAATGTCAATTGTAATTTTAGACTACCCAAAATGCTCATCCAAATCAAGAAATAAAAATCATAATGGGAAAGAATGCTTATTTACCTCTAAAACGGCACCTTAAGTGCATTTCTCCACAAAAAGAAATGCAACATTGCTAGTAAAAAGGTGATAAGTGATGTGCATATGAATGTACCTCAATGCCAAGTGTTATCAAGAACCGCTAGGATTTTAGTTTACTAAATGGAAGCAAGATGAATTTCTATCAGAGACCGCAGTTTACAATGATTCAGAAACGGCATTTTAAAATGCAATATAAGTCCAGTATATGATTGATGTGAATAGGTGCACACACTATAAATCCAGGTCCCGTTTGATTTTCTAACAAAAAACATCGAAACATTAATAGTCCAAATTGCATACATAAATATAAATATGAAATTGATCATTAAGTCTATCCTTGAGAGCTATGGCCTATCCCATTGCCCACAGATAATTAAGTCAGTACCATTCTCAAAATGGAATATAGTGTGTGTTTGTTGGCATAGCATATACGGTGGAGGTGAAGCCACGTGTTGTGATAGGGTTGGGGTTTTGAAAAGTTTTTAGATATGTACTTAGAGTGTGTTTGGTAGGGATTTTTGAGGGAAGAATTGATTTTTGAATAGTGATTGGATGGGAAATGTGTGGTTGAAAAAGAAGAAAAAAGTATTGATGTGATGGAAAATATTATTTTATTGAAGAATGTGTGGTTGAAAATGAGAATTGATTTACTGTAGAAATGGAGAATTTGTATCAAACAAGCCCATAACAAACCATGCCCCATTAACTGTTAATTTCAGGACCATTCTTAAAAACTCTACCTTGTTTCCATAGCCAGTCCCAATCCCATATAAAGGGTGTGGTTTGTGGTAGGTTAACAACTGCAGTAAAACTTATCGCATCTTGTTACAGGAACCATCCTTAAAATGAAACATCATTTCTAAATAACTATAACTATTTCAGACATAAAATCATTACTCTTGAAATATGAGAAAAAATTCACTCTATTGTACAATATTCTACTAATTAACAAGGCTTTACCACAAGGCTTTACCCCCATAACGATTGCAGCAAGAAAGATGCCTGCTTTTACTGTCAATTTGACATAAAATTCCTCATTTTCCAATCGTTACTAGAACTTTCGGGAAGACAGAATTATTTATTTAAATGCAAAGTTCCCAAATTCATTTCAGATAATATCTCGAAATTAATAAACTCAGCCTACTTTACACCAACTGCAAGAATCTTTTCCAAAAATCAATCAGCAGAAGAATTACTAAAAGCAGCCAAAATAAACTTAACTCATTAACAAGAAAATCTTGAATAAAAGTGCAAACCCACGAAAGACGTAAAGATTATTGTTTAAATTATTAAATGTCTTTGAACACACAAAATTTCGCAATTTTAGCAGCGACTAGTTATCAAGACTCTAAAATTATGCTTGGTAATTGAACAGGTTACCTTTAGATTGCCAGAAGCCTGAATATATCGAATATATTTTAGTTGGCTAGTGGAGTTTGAGACTTTCGGCTGACCTCTCAAAGTTGTTCTCTCTCTTTCATAATCATTTTGCTTCCAGTGTTTGAAAGAAAGAGTGAGTACGTAAAATGGGGTAATTAAAAAGAGGGAAATGTAAGGTGGGGCTTAAAATGATAAAATCCTTATCCCATATCTTCATCTGCTACACTGGCAAATTATGAAGCTTGGCTTGCTGTAGCTCGTTGAGCTAAAGGTTCAAAATGGGTGGGTCAGCGCGGACCCACCTAAGTATGACTCAGAAAATATGGTTAGAACCTAATCTGGATTTTATTTCAGAGTTTTGCTAGAGAAAGGGGGTCACGTCCGCCTGACTTTGGCGCCCCTGCTCGTCGTGGACGAATAGCAACTCTTTCTTTCAAATCTAAAGACCAGACCGATTCATGGTTAGGGGTGGATATTTTTTTCTTAGAACAGTTGCAATCGGATCAGAAACTGATTGGTTCGACTAGTTCCTCCACTAAAAGGGTTGATTTTGGATCACGCATCGAGAGCCGAACAATTCCGCTCTGATTTCGGGGAACTAATAGTGAATTTGATTTTTTCGATTTTCTCTTTTTGCTGGTACATTGCATCAAGATGCACCAAATCTTTGAATACTAGATCTTAAAATTATCTCACATCAAAATTTCATTTTTTCGTACGCTTTTTGTGTGTGGCAAAACTCAATGAGTAATCAAAATTCAAATATAAACAATTTTATAAATATTATACAAATTCTTAACTTTAATACAACCCAATAGGAAAACAGTCGCGCTACACTGCCGGGAGTTAGTAACAGGGGAAATCCATGCTGATGTTGCATTTATTTAAAAAAAAAAAGGAAAAAACAAAACAAAATGGCAGAAAATGGGTTTCAATTTGCGTCAAACTCATTTTCATCATTCGCCCAAAATTTTAAAAAAGCGACTGCAGCCGAAACCTATTCTGTCCAATCGAAGGGTTCATCGTCGAATGCCTCACCATCTCCAGCCACTCACCGTCGAAGGATTCATCGTCATATTTTTGCACCACCCCACCACACCTTGCTTCATATTTCTCTCTCCCGCCCACATTTGTCTTGCATTCTCTCTCACCGCTGGCCACTAATTCTCTGATTCCGGCAGATGTACGGGGGCCCACTAATTCCTTTTCATTTCTTGGCTTAAAAACTTCGGAAAGTTCGAGATTAGCCCTGAAATTGTTGAAGATCGAAGCACTTTTGTTTATTACTTTGTAATGTGTTTGTAAATTCAATGGGGGAAAGAATGTTGATAAAATGGGGGAAAGAATGTTGTTTGAAATCTTTAAATTTTTTTGCTCATTTGCGAATTTAGATTTGAGTTTTGATTCCATCGCCATATGTTGTCCAACAGCCCACAGTGAGTAACCCACCAATTTGTTCGGTTTGAATTACTGGTTTTGCTATTGTTTCAAAATTAATTCCAGTTTGAATCTCTAGTGTTTGGTGTTTGTTTGCTGTTGTTTAGTGCCTGTGTGTTTTAGTTGTACTGTGATTGCATATGTAGTTTTCCCCTTGCAACTTCTGATGCTTCACTTTGTTTGTTTGTAGTTTAAAATGGTCGGAAGGAACTCCGAAATTTGTCATAGTTGTAGAGCTAAGACCCACTTCTTCATCGACTGCCCAAGGAGACGCCCATGCCCGTCATGTAAGCGGGGATATGATAAATGTTTTGTGGTGTAGAAAGAGACTGTTAATAAAGGGAAATTATTCGTTTGCCGCAGTAATAATTGTACACTTTGGGAATGTTAAAGAAAAATCAAGCGGCGCATCTAGTAGTGTTAGCGATACATTTGTTAACTCTATGATGAACGAAATTGTTGACGAAATGTCCCGCAGTTTCGAATTTCGAATTCGACCGACTGACCAAGAAGATCTCAATATTTCGATCGACGTAACAATCCACATGGGCAAAGTAAGTGCTGTATGGAATGCAAAAAGGGAATCGGCCTTCTTGATTAGTAGATATTGTTTAAAACTTTTGTTGCAGATTAGACAATTGACAAACTATGTCTGTGTATGGAGCTTGAATTTTCACCCTGTAATGGAGATGGTTATATCTAATGCATCGATGAGTTCTCTATTATCTTAAATCTCTACTTAAGTAGCCATTTAGCTGCGTATTTTGTTGATTGTGAATGCATATGCAAACTGAAGTATCCGTTTTGAGAACAAGCAACATAGGATGGTAAATCCAATTCTCACACTACCATGAAAGCAACAAATGGAATGTGTAAACATCTTCATTCACCAAACCTGTCTTTAATTACTTTTACAGGGTCTTAGACAAAATTGTGCTAAACTTAAAAAAAAAAAAAAATGAAGAAGAACTTCGAATACCTAATGTGCCATGGGAGACACAACATTTTGTAGAATGATCTATTCTTTGGTTTTATATTTGCCAACACGAACATTTAGAGATGTTGGAACTATAGAATGAGGTCCAACCCCATATATCCACCCATGTGAATACCTTATGAATTGTATAGAACATTTTTCGAGGACGGAGGGGTGAAATTCGAAGTCAATAAATGTTGTGAAAGAGAAAACGATGTAGGGATGACAGGTTGTGAAAGGGAAAATGGTGACGGTGTGGAATAATGTTCTTCTTGAGCTAGCTCAACGTTGATTGTGCCCTCTGGCATATTACTCTTCTCTATTTAGGTCTCTTCACTGTTGTTGATGTTAAACTGGCCTTTACATGTATAAAAAATAATCAGACTAAATATAATTCAAATTCGTTGTAGATTATAGGCAAACATTTAAACATACCTTTGATTTCTTTGAAGGCAATTCCAACGAGTTTTTCTTCCTAAGTTTCTTCGGCGCACCCTTTCTGTGAGTAGATTTTGGATCCAGCATGCTCCCGCTCAATGTATTTTGTAAATTAGTACAATGACTGGGTAAGAAGCATCCTGAGAAACTTGATTACTTCCACTACTCAACTTTGAGCTCATAAGTGCACGAAATTGGTTTTTTATCTAGTCCATTATCAAATGTGACCAGCGCTCATCTTTTACAGCAAGGTTAGCAACCTGTGTAAAAGCTTGACAAATTTCGTCGTATCTCAGCTGTCCTGGAGTAGTAAATAATCCATCATAGTTCACCGCAACCTTCGTGTGTGCTCTACTAACGTCTCTTCTCCATCTCCGTAGTATATATCTCTCTGGCAGCCATGTCACATCATTACAGATCAGTACTGCGATCTCATGCCTACATATTATTCCTTGAAACTAGAACAAGTGGCAGATGCAAATAATATCACATTTCTCTTGCTAAAATGAGACCCAAAATGTTTTTTCCTTTGACAACCCTCATAAGTAACAACCTCTCGTACCTCATGCACGTCCCCAAACATCCTTCAGAAGTAGAAATGATGTCAATAAAATTTCCCCATGAACTTCGCCTGAACCTCCCTGAATTTTGAAATGGTGTAAACTGATTGAAACTGCTTTTCCATTTCAAATTGTGTAGCACAATGTACCATTTGAGAGAATGACTTGAAAACAAATTGGAATTCCTTCTTAAGCTTATTCCTTAGTGCACGTTCATACTGTTCGACAAATGTCTTCAAAGATCTCTTCTTATGTATATATCCATCAAAGAATGCATTCATATTCTCACTTCTTTATGTTATCGACATCCCAACCCAGAAAGTAGTTCTCAAAAAGCAAGGAACCTAAAGACATCTGTTCTCATATAATCCTGACAACCAATTATTATCCTGCAAGCCAAACTTATTAATCATCGCTCTCCAATCGTCTTCAAATTCTTGAACAAACTGCGAATCATATACCAATTCGTATATGGCCCCAAATATTGAACCCTTATTAGCATGGTAGCCGAAATTTCTAGCAACTTCTTCATAATATGCCATAAACACCGTCTATGTTTTGTATGTGGAAAAACTATCTCAATTGCATTTTGCATGGCCATATCTTGATCTGTAATTATTCCTTGCAGAGCTTGAGCATGCATGCACTGAAACAATGTCTTAAACAACTAAACAAAAGTATTTATGTCTTCGTTCGATAGTAAACCACAACCAAGTAGTGTTGATTGTCCGTAATGATTCACGCCAACAAAAGAAGTTAAAGACATATCGTACTTATTGGTGAGATAAGTGGTATCAAATGTAGCAATATTGTCAAACTCCTTATACGATTACCTACACCGATTATCTGCCTAAAATATATTTTTCAGTCGTGACTCGTCATCCAAATTCATAGTGAAGTAAAAGCTCGATCATTGTGCTTGCATTTTTGAAAAATAGGATTGTATTGCTGCGACGTCTCCTTCTCCAAGTCTTAAGCGCTTCACTTGTTCTATATAATTCCGACAATCATTTTCAAAGCAAGTTATGTTCTTATAACCCCCTGCTTCTGCAACTGTAGAGTAATAACTTTTGTGCAACAGAATTCTTGCCAACTCATTCACTTGAAACTTCCGTTTGACGTGTGTACTTAATTCCCTATTGCATTGATATAACTTTGACTTTAACGGACTTGTTTCATGATTGTGGTCAAGATGGACCTTGTTAATTCTCCAGATTCCATGGATATCTAAAGATGTAGAGATCCTGGCTTTACAACTCACCCAAATTGTTGGTTGCGGCTTCAAAGAACCGCTAGTGTCACCTCTTCTTTGGCCTTCACGACTACATGTCAAAGTCACAAACCGCAAAACTCCATCTATATCCTTCTTCGAATTCCTTTTTTCACTGGAAAACCTACCGCATAAGCATACTTTTTGTACAACTGAAACATCTCGTTCTCATCTTCGAACAACATACCCACCTCAGGCACAATCACACCTTCTCCTCCTGACGTTTCTCCTTCCACTATGTTCACGATTTTTTGTAAGGTTCTCATTATCAGATTCCCCCAAATGTACATCATCATACGTTTCTCCTTCCACTGTCTTCAAGGTTTCCATAACTTTCTCATTATGAGATTCTACTAAAACATCAACATACTCGTCCTGTACATTGTCTATAATTTCTTCTGCTGCAATATAAACATTGGTCATGTTCAGCACAACAAGTACACATTAGAAAGCTTTCCATTCGTATCATTTGATGGAAAAGAATTAATTCTAAATGTTAACTTGAGAATATAATAATGGATAAAAGAAATGTGACAACAAAAAAGGCAAACAGAGTAGAGGAAAAAGAAAAGATATATATAAAAAGAAAAGATGGTCAAATTGAATCTCAAAGACCTCTCTTTGTATCATCAACTTCGACTTTCTTTATCAAAATTTTGGCATTTTAACTTTCTTCCATTGATTCTCTTAATTATTATTCTTATTAATATTATTACCTTCTAAAGAATGGACACCCTCTTTAATTTATTAATTATCTTAACATTTGTTAATATAATATACTTTGAGGAATAAAGAAGAACATAAACATCCTTGGACGTTGCAGCCATGCCATATTAATTAATTTCGGCTTTGATAAAGTTTATGCAATGAGTATGATTTCTGGAAAAAATTGACATTAACAAGAATCTTTCTTAAGCTAGAAGTTTTTTTAAACGCAGTATAAATTAAACTTTAATGGTAGATTCAAACCCCTCCTCTTACCCTAGCACAGTTTAGATTCAAATTTGTTTACATGGGATGCTTTAAATCGATGAAAAAGAATATGAAACGTTTATGAAGAGACGCGTAGATGAAAATTTACATAAATATTTTTTCGTCCTACATAATTTGATTCATTTTTACATAACTAATACAGTACTCACGTTTCAAGTATACGTGCCAACTCATGAATATTCAAAAGTCACTCACCTTGGATAGTCTTCTTCTCCACGTGTAATGAGGAGTGGATGGGATCACGTGGATTGGCCGAAATTTGATGACATCAAAGTGATATTTGCTGGGCATCGATGGTCGGGAAACATTGGAGCAGTGGTTTTCAATTTTGCATTATTCTGCTTTTTCAATTTGGGGGAGTAAGTCAACCGGGTTCATTATTTCCCCCCTTTACCGCCCTTCCTTCCCTCATTTTTCCAACAATGCCACATCAATCATTTTTAAAATCCTGTCACCAACGTTGTCACTAAGCCTGGCCATTTAGATTAATTGATAGAAAAAATATACTTTTAGTTAAATATGTCATAAGAACTGAAGTTTCTCGTTATTTTCAAAGTGGTCGGCCATCAAGAATTAAGATCCTTGGAGATAACTAAAGATAATAAGTTTTAATACTTGTATTTTTAATATATAGTTGTATAAATTTTATTAAGAATTAATTTTCGATCCAATTTTATTATTTATGTTGTGTTTAATAGTTTATCCCATTTTTCCACCTTTTAGCTTTGGAATAGATTTTTGTTTGTTGCCTTGTTTAATTGATTTTCTATGGTAGATAACAAGAATTATAAGTAGTTTTGTATTCAATTTTTTTTTTGTCTATTTTCAATCTGACAAGTAGTTTCATACATTGTTTTTACCATTTTCAATACAAAGAATTGGTATGTACTGAATTGAAATTGATATTGATATTGGAGGTTGGTTTGGATTCAATTCCGATTCGATTCTATAATTGGAATGGAACCAATAATTTCCATTTCTAAGATTCCCATTGGTGTATTATTCAGTTCTCTTCAAAAACCAGACCACGCCCATTCCTATCCATGGTCCATCAATATTTTGGATTCGGCCAATTTAAATTGCCATGTTCATTTTCCATTTTCTGGAAATTTGATATCGTTTAAAATTAGAATACATTTAAAAATATATTCAATCGATGTATTTGTGGATTACATTGTTAAATTGTTTGTGAAATATGAAAATATAAGTAATGAGTAGTGATGGCAATGGCTCGGTACCCACAAGCTCGTCTCGTGCCTCGTGGGCCGAGTTGAACTTGGTCCTGTGAGCTCCCAATATTTTTTAAATAAAACACTCCTCCTTTGTTCGGGTTTTGGACCCACTACTTAAATTTCGAGTAGGCGAAAATTAAAAATTATACAAGAACAACTTGTTACGTGTACAATTTTTTTTAAAAAAATTAAAAACGGTATTATAAAATAACAAATTATATTAATATGGTTAAATTAAATATCATTTACCTGACGAAATCTAATTTCGGTATGTTTGTTATGCAGTCGAAAATGAGCGTTTTGTCAATCCGTCACTCACATTAATGCTTCCAAAATATCTTATTTCAGTAGACTCTTAACCTTAGACAGAGCTCTCTTACCTATACATATTAATGCCCTCAAATAAATTCAATATTTCACATTCGTCTTCTTCAAGATTAGCGGAAGGAGTAGGTGCAGAGGGTATCCAACTAATATTTGCATCAATTCATTGTGTATATAATCCATACATTTCGTATAAAGTTTGCTCTAAATTTCTATAAGTAATGTTGTATTAAAAGTTAAAGTTTTTGAAATCTAAAATTACATATTTAGTCTTTAATAAATTGTATCGGGGGTCCATGATGTATGCCAAAAGAAATAACATAGGCAAGTCTTCCCAATATTTTCTAAACATTAATTCTATAAAAATATAATTTTACTAAAATCGAGGTCATTTTTGTATTTATTAAAAGCCCTTGCAATGATATAAAGACGTTCAAACAACATACAACTAATGTGATGTACACTTCAGATAAAATATTTGTAGAGTTGTAAAAACTTGTCAATTTTTTTTAATTTTAAAAGCTAAAAGCCAACTAAATTCATTCAAAGGAGTGTCATTATCGTTTCTAATATGCTTATTGTTATAAAATTCAGTTATTAAATGTTCAAGTCCTTTGAATGGTTTTAATAATAAGTGGAATTCCATCTATGTCCTACGTCACTAACAAATATTTTCGAATTCGTTACCCCAAATTCGGCACAAAATTCTTCGAATGCATGTTTTCTATTAGGCGAAATCGTGATATATATTAGCACATCCTTAATTTTTTGAATTTAATTCTTAATAAGTTTTAAACCATCTTTCACAATTAAATATTAAAAATATGGCACACACAACAAATATGAAATAAATAACCACGAAAATCAAGTTGCAGTACCCTACACAATTTATCGATAACTGGCTTATTAACAGCAACTTTGTGAAATGTAAAAGAAAATTTTTACTCTCACAATGATATTCTCTAATAATACTCATAATATCGTTAAATATATTGTTAGCATTTTAAGGAAACTCAATTATTTTAAAAGTAATAATTTTTTTTATACATATACCAAAGTGGGTCTATGTAGTGTGTAATTATAGTTATATAACCTCTTTTATTAATACATTCTCATAAATCCAAAATTAAAGATATAACATCATCATATTTTTTGTAAATCAGTAATCAATTGTTTATTTGTATTAAGAAAATATTCTATTGTATCAGAATGAAGATTTTTTCTACTTACCCTAACGTACCTCGATTGAAGATATTCTTTCACGTAGAAGACGAAATGTTGGTTGTCCGCTATTACTTGAAGCAACTCAGAACCGGCAACGAACTTCACCATTCTTGTTCGAGCTTTCTCTCCCAAATACATCAAGGTGCAAAGTGTCATAGAAGCAAAACCAGCAGTTGGACTTCGAAATCGCAGTTGCGTTTGAGAGACACCAACAAACCCATGTTTGACCGCATATGCTTTGTAGTGACGATTGGGTTGGGTGGTATCAATACCCTTTTGTCATGCCAATTATGTTTGACAGTGTATACATACTGATTTAGACTCTACAACTCTATTGACCATACGACCCATTGGAATCAATTTAAAATGATCTCAACGTTTTACTTGTTTTTTCCTCTTTCGCTTCCTTCTTGTATCGGGAATATCTAATTCTCCCTGTTCCATTCCGGGAACATCAACATATCCAAATCAATTAGATTACTATTTCTGTGAGCATTCAAATTTGGAATATTTTTGGGAATTGGTATGTTGTTGAGATCAACAAATTCATTGTGAAATTGACTTCGTTTATTCACAAGTGATTTGTCATCGATACCAAATAAGCCCTCAACAAATGATTGTTGATCCATTTGTGATGAATTGATAATATATGAACTTGAATGAATATGAAATAACGAACGAATATATAGAAATTTGATAATTGTAATTTGTAGGAATGTAAATTGTAATGATAGTGTTTATAAAATATAGGTATAGATAATAGAATATGTATTGTGTAATGTGTATTATAGATTTATAGTAAGGTAAGTAAATATGAGTACGTGAATAATTAAGATGCAAGAATATAATGAATATTGAAATTGAAGGTAGTAGAACGTTGAAGATAGTAAGAATTGTTGTTGTGTGAAAAAAGTGTTAAGGTGATAGGGTATTTATAGAGGTAAAAACAATTAAAAAAATTATGGCCTAACAGCCACAAATAATAGTTCAGTGACAGTTGCTGGCAACAGTGACAGTCATTGAACTATCTACAGTGAACAAAGTGGTCACTGTAGCAGGTGAGCCACGAACTTAGGCTCGTGGTTCGTCGTACCTTCTCGTGGCTAATAATATGCTTATTAGTTTTGGATTACCACAAAACTTATATAGAAATTGGTTTTAATTGCTAGCTTTATTTTGGATAGAGTTTTTCATGAAAAAACTGATTTGATACCTTATGAATTATGAAAGTATAGAATGTCTTCTTACAAATACTTGAAAGCAGGGGATACCTAGCAAAAGTGGTTTCCACCTCTTAAAAGAATAAGTTATGTCCTAAAATTGTTAATTATATTTTTACCAGATATGCAATGAATGGTAGTGCTTTCATATTTCTTGTGCATAATTCTTACATAAATGACATTCATGCCGCTACTATTATTAAGTTCAAAGGTGCGAATATGTATTTTCTGATAAAAGAGATGTTTCCAAGAAAACCTAAAAGAGAATGCGTGACGATGCTTTAATTTGTAGGCAATCGAAAGTTTGAACCAAGAAGGTGTAAAAAAACAAATACTGTTAAATCCTTTAGCCTAAGCTTATATCATTAAGAATAAGAACAAGCATCAAACTTTAATGAGACTATGACTAGTCTAGAATATGTATTTTGAAATGAAGCTATAAATAGCGAGATCAAATTTATTATGAGTAATGATGCTTGGCAATTGTTTGATCTTCTCAAGATAATTAAACTAATCTAATTCAAATACACTGATGATGACTATATTTTATTAGAGATATCGTATCACAAGAGGTGATAAGACTTGAAAATGTACATACACAATATAAGCCCTCGGACATGGGCATTAAGGTGTTGCTTTTGGTGAAATTTAGAAGTTGTAAAGACCTTCAAAACATCGGTTGAGGTCAATAATTTATAATTTTATTGATTTTCCTTTTAGAATGGTCACTAATGGGTGATAATATTTTCTTGCAGGTCTTTTGACATCAAGGTAGAGGTCTGTTGGGCAAATGAATGTCAAACAACCTCCCTAGAAATGATGTTAAGTCGTTAGAATTTGTTAGTCGGCATCGATTGAATGACCGAATTAAATATCGACACCTCAATGAAATGACAAAATCCTAAAATTATTTGGGGCCATTGAAAGCAACCTAATTTAATTAGAGTTGCTCATGACCCATCCCATTCACTTCCCGGAGGCTTACGAAGGTTGGCCCATTATTTAGACTACTTGGCACTTATTGGTTTGTTCTTGGCCCACTTCTATACCTAATATAATCTATATTTTGTTGTCTCCCTTCTCGGTCATTCACGTGTGTCATTGATGTGGCTTTCTCTTGGTGAAAATGACTGCCTTTTCTGCTTTGTGCTCCAACCGTATTCTCCATCTCTGTTCTTGCCTTTGTGGCTGCAATAACTCCTTCTTTTGGGTCCTTTGTGGGTACAACCAAAGCTACCGAAGTGTGGGCGAATAGTTATAGTTTTGGGTTGTTGATTTGGGGTGTTTGATAAGGTTGAATTGATTAACTGAGCCCGGAAATCATCTTGGCGAAGCCATCTTCCGCAACAATAACCATAAAAAAGTATGAAATAAAATGAGAATCACAGCGCAAAGTTCAGATTTTCTTTGTGCATCAGAATGCCAATTATTTCATCACAATGTCAATATGTCTATCAAACACATCCCGTTCTTAAGCTATGTTGCAGACAGTAAGTAGTCTACTAAAGCGAAAGTCTGAGTTCCAGATCTAATTCTTGAGTAGCACTAGATTCAAATTTCTCATGATTAGAACCCGCTGAATCATTCAGACCTTTCTTGTTCTTCTCAAGGAGTGAATTCTGCAATGATAACGAAATTGTTATAATCACGTTTAACTCTATGTTATAGAGTAAAAAAATTAGGTGTCATTTACTTATGTCTTAATTATTTTGCAATCAAGTTTCTCCTATTATCTTGGTAAGTGAAAATATTAACGCGTCAGTTGATAATTTGTGTCAAAATTAAATTTACTCGTGTCATATCAACATTCATATAATTTTTATCTCGAGAAAGGAAATCTCCCTTAAGAACTTGCAGGTTAATTGAATTGGAGAAGGTGTCGAAGCGTCTTTTGTCCATGATACCTAGCCTAAAAGGCCCTCTTTCTAATAAAAAGTTTCCTCAAGATCCTTTATGGTAGTAATGTTACAGTAGTATATTCGAAGAAACAAAAATAAGGGAAATGGTTTCGTGCACGAAAGGTGAAATCAATGTGCAGCCACTAGGTGGAATTGCAAGAAGAGAGGAGCAACAAATTTCGAAAGTTAATTTTAGAGTTGGAGAGTGACTTACTGGAAGAAAAAAATAAAAAAACAAACTGATTCAAGGATAAAATAAATTTCACTAACCCACTTGAAATTATAACTCAAATACAGTGACATCTAGAAACATTTTTACCTATTTTTTGTGTACGTGACAAAATATGGTTGAATTTGAATACCTGTATTTGTAGGTTCAACAAGTGTCTTGTCATGCTTGGCTGCACAAACTGTTGGGTTCCTAAGACTGTTTGGATCGAATCCCATCTGTCTCAATCCGTAAACGATATATTTGGTAAGTTAGATTGGTGAGAAATAATGAATTAAGAAAGAAAAACAAAATTTTATTAATTATATTGCATGTCAAACATAGCAAAATTTTTTAGTCTTGGTGACATACATACCTAGTAGCATTTATCTGTTGGGACTCTTCATATTTGATATTTTCCTTTACCAAGTCTGGCCAACCTATCTGAAACGTGGCCAAAATCCAAAAGCTATAATCATTGTACAATGGAGTCATTGAGCAGCAAACAAATTAAAATTTTGCTTGGGAAGAATTTATAAACTGATAGAAATAAGTGGTGGATAGTACTTGTAAGTTCATTAGAATGTGTAATTGAAAATAAATACCATTGCACAAGCTAACGGATGACGATAGAAAATCCCAATCGATGATTACCAATCTCTCGTCGAGAATGTTCATGAGATTACAACTATAATTACATATAGTTCGATTAAGGTCTGCTTAGCAGTAAATTAGCTATATTCATAACAAAAGAATGAAAATAATGCTGATTTTATTGGAAAACTAGAAAAAGAAAAGAAACTATAGAAAAACTTCAGAATCCAGAAGTTCACTATAGCCACTCATGTAAATCTCACCAATCACTTTCACTATTCAGTTTTAAACACTTTTTGTCAATTATTAATCTCATTATAATGACTAGAAAACTATAAGATCTATCTAAAAAAAATCCAGTGATCATTGCATTAATGTTGTTTATAACGAGTACTGAAGTTTGTCATACCATGATGCCATGGGGAGTTCGAAAACCATAAGAAGGAGACGACAATGGTAAGTATGAAAAACACGATGACGACGACGATGAGCAGGTTGTTTGAAGTCTCATATCCTCCTGCAGGTTTGTAAATGGATGAAATCCATAAACCAGTAAAAATTTACATATTTATAAGAAAATATGAATAAGTAGGTCAAATCTTTTACATAAAAAAAAAATAATAATCAAGTACTGCCCACCTGGCTGAAATTCTCGAAATAAGGATTATGATGTGAATTAGGAATGTAAGTAGAGCTCATTTCATGTAATCTGATCTTCTCTAGTTGAGCCACACCAAGACCTCTTAGGGGTTTCTTGGCCTTGTAAGAATTTCTCTTCTTGCCTCTCCTAAATGATGATGATTCTAGGGTTTCGTTTCCTAGGTTTTGGTCATCAAAATTGCTGCTGCTGCTGCTGGCCATCTGTTTTATTTTCTATCTTAATTTGACTGATGGAGGAGAGGTTAGTTAGGGTTTGGGACAGCTTAACGAACTTTCTTGCAAGTTTCCTGAAAAAACTGCAATGGGATAGCAAAGGGATCTGAAATGCTTTTAAGCTGTCAACATTTTGCACTCAGCAATTACTTATTGCATCGCTGGATCAGATTTCTTTTGTAGTTTATGTGATTTATTGTCTTCCAAGTCGTATTTAAGCCCCAATGTTTGATACATATTCTTTAAAATTTATTTTTCTTCGAACTCATTTCCAAGTTCGAAAAGACACCCCCAATAAAATAATCTTACACATAAATTCGTAATATTTTTATCAAGTTAATTTCATACGTTCTTTTTCTTCAACAAACATTTTGAGGTAATAGATATATTAAGCAAAACTCATAAACTAGAATTTCCAATTAAAATAACTCTAAATAAGAATTCATCTGAAAAACTTCTGAATTAGAAATATCCAACTGATAGGAATACATTGTCCATGTTTGTCTCTAATTAAAATCTGATTTTAATCTCAAGTCAAAGTCAACAATTAATTTTAACCACACATTTTATGAGATCCACAACTTTTCAACCACACATTTTAACAATTTTTATCAAAATCTACTAAAAATCCGATTTTAATTTACAACAAGCAGGTTGATTCATTCATGATGTAAAATTTTAGTGGGGGTGATGGAATGGAAACAAAGTATCTGGACTCATACTTTACTAGCTTCACTTCGAGAAGTGCCATATAAAATACTTGAAAAGCGAGTGTGAAGAGATTTTTAACTAATTAAGTACGCAATAATGTAAAGGTTTTCTCACCAATGCCCATCTAAACTTTAACTTTTTGTGTGTGTGTATTTTTTTTTTCATGACTTTCAAGAGAACATCTTCCAGTTGTCCTCTGCATGGCTTGGTCTGGCAACATTCTTGCATTATTCCTCTACACTAAGCTCCCATTTGGTGAGTATTAAAATCAGCGTTTCAGTACATTTTGATAAAAATTGATGAAATGTGTGATTGAAAAGTTGTGGATCCCATGAAACATGTGATTAAAATTAATTCTTAACTTTCACTTAAATTAAAATTTACATTTTAATCCCTACCAAACAGTGACTATGAAAGCTGATATAATCGTATGAATGATATTTTAGAATAATAAATCTAAATTCTTATACANGAGGTATCTATTCTTCCAATAAAATAATTTATACGTAGATCTGTATTTCTTTTATCAAGTTAATTTCATACGTTCTTTTTCTTCAACAAACATTTTGAGGTAATAGATATATTAAGCAAAACTCATAAACTAGAATTTCCAATTAAAATAACTCTAAATAAGAATTCATCTGAAAAACTTCTGAATTAGAAATATCCAACTGATAGGAATACATTGTCCATGTTTGTCTCTAATTAAAATCTGATTTTAATCTCAAGTCAAAGTCAACAATTAATTTTAACCACACATTTTATGAGATCCACAACTTTTCAACCACACATTTTAACAATTTTTATCAAAATCTACTAAAAATCCGATTTTAATTTACAACAAGCAGGTTGATTCATTCATGATGTAAAATTTTAGTGGGGGTGATGGAATGGAAACAAAGTATCTGGACTCATACTTTACTAGCTTCACTTCGAGAAGTGCCATATAAAATACTTGAAAAGCGAGTGTGAAGAGATTTTTAACTAATTAAGTACGCAATAATGTAAAGGTTTTCTCACCAATGCCCATCTAAACTTTAACTTTTTGTGTGTGTGTATTTTTTTTTTCATGACTTTCAAGAGAACATCTTCCAGTTGTCCTCTGCATGGCTTGGTCTGGCAACATTCTTGCATTATTCCTCTACACTAAGCTCCCATTTGGTGAGTATTAAAATCAGCGTTTCAGTACATTTTGATAAAAATTGATGAAATGTGTGATTGAAAAGTTGTGGATCCCATGAAACATGTGATTAAAATTAATTCTTAACTTTCACTTAAATTAAAATTTACATTTTAATCCCTACCAAACAGTGACTATGAAAGCTGATATAATCGTATGAATGATATTTTAGAATAATAAATCTAAATTCTTATACAATAGAAATATTTAACTCAAAAACAAACAACAAGAACACAAAATTAAAAATAAATGAATAATGTTATTTATGATAAATTATTGGTGAAGTATAATTTTGCAGTGAAGCATAATTTTGCAAAAAAGTCAGATTTCATAGAAAAAGGGACTAAATTGGAAAACAGAACAAGATTTTTTGAACTATTACCCATGAGAGAAGCTTCAAGAAGATGCTTAGCAAGAAGAATCTGATCAGTAGTGTTGACGTCACCATCATCAATCCAACGCCTATGGATCGCCACCACATTGTACGCGATAGACACCATCACTATAAAAATAGTCCCCGCCACAGTCTTGACCACAATTGGGCCGCGTCCTCTCTTGACCCGGTCCAGGCCCATTATAGCCAGCTGTATATATGCAAGTACCTTTATTTCAAAGACAACTTGGGAAATTGTCTACTAGATCATTGAGGGACCACTCATTTGGAAATAATATACAGATCTAGCAATCATATCATCTATGCATAATTGGACTATCAAAGCTGTAATCTAAAGACACTAAAATTTCAAGACCTAACTTTTAACACAACTTGTTTAGAGCTCATTTGACATGATTTTTGAAAAGTCAAAAGTCATTTATAAAATAAAGAAGTGGCTTTCGAGTACGTTTATTATTTCTGAAATTATTTTATCAAGTTATAAGAGATATTTTAGAAAAAGTTGGTATAAGATAACTTCCTTATGAAACTTTGCTACAAGAAGTAGAAACAAAAGCACAAACCCGGCCGAACGGGCCCCTAATATGATCAGATCAACCTTTAATTAGGGCACAGTAAGAAGATTAAAAAAGTACAATTGCATAATTTTATCTCTCTCTCTTCGATATTATCTAAGACCCTCTTTGATGATCATTATTTAGCAAAAATAAAATTTTGAAGAATGTGTGGCTAAAAAGTAGGAAAAATTTTAGATTTACTCACAAAATATTTTATTTGATGAATGCGTTGTTGAAAATAAGTATGTGAGTGAAGAGTTTTCAAATAATGGTCCTCAAACAGGGGCAAGACAGCGCTACATTTAGACTCGAGAAATCGTACATTAGATGTTAAACAAACATGAACTCACTCAATTAAGAAAATAAATCAGCAATTGTTATATAGCAAAAGTGTGTCCGTCCAGCGTGTCATACAATTGCAAATAAATAGATATGGAAAATTTAAAAAACTTTAATTCATTAATCACATTTGATATTATATTTAAAAAAACCAGTAGGCACAGAAGGAAACCGGGGATTTTGTTGCTCACATTTGATATTATATTTCTTATTAAATTAAAATATTGTAAGAAAAATCTAAAAAGAAGGGGAGAATATTCATTGTAGATTGCGAGCACATGCCAAACTACACAGCGACACAATTTCCAAAGGAGAAACGCTGCCGTTTAGTCCTTGCAAGTGTGATTCTGTTAGACAACAAATCAATCCTCAATCCCATAATCTCATATGATATCAGATTCCAATCTATTAATAATTTGGATGAGTACAAGGATTTGTGGCCAACTGTGTCAAAAGTTTGAGGACAAATGGACAATGTCTAAGTGTGTTTAGGTTCACACAGTTGTCATCCAACTATATGAATTGTTTAGCAAAAGGATCATAAAAGATTGATCCCATTATCCCATTTTTTTAAGTAACATAATCATATGATTTTCTAAATTAAATATGACGTGGCACAATGGGATCTCATGTGATATGGCAAAACGATGGTTCCATAAAGAAACACTATTAGTTTATGTGGCAGTGGAGTCCACTATTTATATCTCAACTTGCTCGTCTATTTTTCAAGGACAAGATTTAAATTGGTGTTTCTGCCACTCTCTCTTCGAGGATGGAGTTGCAGGTTTTATTTGTAATCCCACGTATCCTAAACGTTTAGTGGTACTAGTACTCAAACGCAGTTCATAGGTGAAATTTTCATAGCGGCTTCTAGGTGTCGAGCTATATAGGAGAGTCAATGGACCATTATCAATTCGAACTCTAATAGCTCAAATCACGTACTTGTCAACTTTTGTCCAACTACCTTGTTAGCGCATAAATATTCCACCAATCTATTATAGATCTCAAAATTGTACTCTTTGATTACAAGCTTAACTGAATAAACGTGACGTCCACTAAATAATTGGATGGATTATGAATTAGGTCTTAAGGTTTACAAGACCAAACAATCAATGTAGTTCTAACACCTTTAATTTGTTTTTGTTGGGTATTTTAGCCAAATAAACGCATGCAAAAATAAAAACACCCAGAACGCACACTGTAGGAAATGAAAATAACGCAAAAAATGTTGACCTAGTTCGACAAAGCCTGATCTGGGGAGCTCAGAGGTAAAATCGAGCCCGTCACCATGCAAGAACCTTCCAAGAGAGAGTGTAAGAATTAGTACAACCAAGACTTAGACCGTAACACCACACACGGTCATCGATCCACAAATGGATCTCCCTGTTCAGCCTAAACTATACAAAAATCAGGAGCTTCACAGCCAAAAATAGGTGCAGATTTACCGACACCAAATGTAACCTAAAACACTGAACACAACCCAAAAAAACTACACTCAATAACCAATGCTCAGTTCTGATTCACTTATACAAACCAACATATTAATACAACCTAAGATTGGAATGAACCCCAGAAGAAATATGAAGAAAAATCGCCTCACACAGAGAGAGAGAGAGAGAGAGAGTAAAAAAAATCAACAAAACGAAAAAACCGGAATGACGCCTTGTAATTCAAGTGAAAATAATATGATTTTTCCTCAACTGTTGATTAAGATCAACGGTCCAGAATGTACCAAAGAAACACGAATCTGAGACATGGTCAAATGACCAATGAAATCGCGCCAAGTGGACAGGCCAAAGAAAAACGT